GTTGTTTTGATGTGTTTTTGGTATTTTTTTATATTTTTTCTTTTTTTATAAAAATAGAGAAATAAAAAAGAAAGTGAAGGAGAAAGAATGCAAAAAACACACCAAAATGATATAGTTTCATTAAAAATGACACAAAATTATGTAATTTAAAATGACAAATACTTTTTCCTAATTTATTATATACTCATAATTTGAACTTAAAATACTAATTAAGTTGAAATAATTCCGTATCAATAGATTTAAATGCTTAATAATAATTATTAATTATTTTTTTCTAATTGATAAACGCTCGTATATGTACGTTCATTTTAAAAATCAATATGGTTTTATTTACGGAACCACACTACACATTATATATAAAATAAAAGTTTTCCCATTAGAATTGTCACATATAATTTTTTTCTGAATTTTAAACTATAACTTTATTTTTGTTTGTTATTTTATTTTTTGACTTCTTATATTTTTATATTTTTTATTTTTTCTTAACTATTTTTCTAAAATTGTTATATAAATAAAAATAAAAGGGGCATTAGCTTTTTCATAAACAGAAAAAACACATACTTTATTACATATGTTAAGCTTGGATAAAAAATCAAACATATATATTAATATAATACCCTTTTAAATACTTTTTATAGTTAATTATAAATTATTTTTTCTTTTAATATTTATATTATAATTCTATTAAAAAATATTTGAATAATATTAAATTAAATTAATTTTTTATATTTCATAAATAACATATATTAACTTTATTTATATTAATAATATTAAAACGGAGTATGCATATTTTTTATAAACATATATAAGATAACACATTAAATATAGATCTTGCTTAGTAAAAGATGAATAAATTTTAATCTAAATTTAAAAATGTTAATAAAAATTAAAATTTATTGGATGAAACAATAAATTACGTAATGAAAAAAATAAAAAATAGTAAAGAAAATTGATTGTTAAAAATTAATTAAGCTAATAGCTATAGATGTTGAATTTGTCGAGCCACCAAAGTTTACAAGTTTTGCTTGGAATACAAATAAATTAAATGAATTACAATGTTGAATTATTTTATCCATATCGTTTTGCTTGGAAATACAAATAAATTAAATGAATTGTGAAATAGAATCATTAACTTTATTTTAATTTGATATCACGTCTCGTTTATAATTTATCTTTTAGATTTATATATAGAATTAATTTAAAATCTATTTACTAAGAATATTAACTGTCAATTATAAAATTAATTGTAAAATTATCTTGAATTAAAAGTAATTAATACACTATTAAATATTAACATTATATCAAAACAATTTATTTAAAACTGTAAGGAAAAATCATCAAAATATAGTTAAAATTGAGGTGAAAATAAATTATAAAATTAAAGAAAAATGCATTTTTGATTTCAAAAGATATAATTTTGTGTCATTTTAAATAAAATATATTTTGGTATATATTTATTGCCCTTTTATATTCTCTCTCCTCAACAAAATTAGAAGGAGAGAGAAAAAGAGAGTATTGTGAAGGAGAGAAAATATAAAAAAAAACCAATAAATATGCACTAAAACGCAGTCTTTCATTTCATTTAGAATGATATAAAGTGTTTACCAAAAAAAAATGATATAAAGTTGTGTCCTTTAAAATGATAAATATTTTTCTTAAAATTAAATTATATAATTATCAAATTTTAAATATCAGTCTTTATATTATATTTAATATAATTTTAAGTGTGCTTGAAATAATCTATTTATTTCTGATTAAATAAATAGATTATTGCTTACAAAAAAAATAGATTATTTTTTAAATATTTTCATTATACAGTTTTATTAAATACATTTTACTATGTATTTTAAATATTTATGTAATAAACAAAACTTTATTAATATAAATAATAAATTTAAACAATATATCAAAAACCTAACTAGTATTTATTATTTTAAATGTCACATTCTACGGTGATGGTGAAAGGTGAGGAACGCTATTATGATGTCTGGAGGCTGTCTGCATGCATAATTCTCTTCAGACTCAGATTTTTTTTTTTTAATACAAGTTCAAAATTATAACTGATCATATTTATGTTAATATTTACATTATTAATTATTTATTCTTACGTTTAAATGATCTTGAGATATCGGAACTAGTTATAAAAGTTATAGTGAGAGTTGGAGTATACAACTATTTCCTAAAAAATATGAGAAAAGTATGCGAATATAAATATGTGTAAGTAATATTAATCACTATTTTTTTGGGAAGTTTATGATTAAATTTAATTTGAGTTGCGATAGAAGTAGACCAGAAAATAATTGTCAATACACACATAAAAGAGTTAGCAGGAAGATCAAACAGAGGATAATTACTATTTGTGAGTAGCTGATGCTTATATTTTATTTTTTTAATAGTTGAGAAAAATTGATGCAGATTTGTTTTTTTTTTTGAAGACTCTAGAATCGAGATATTTATTCCCTCTCTTTTGATGCACCACTCTCTAGACCTTGAATGATGTTTGATGAATAATGAATACAACTACACAAGTAATGAAAAATTCATCACCCCCTTAACAAATTATAAAGAGATTTTACACTAATTATGATTCTAGTGGTTGGAAAAGGTAAACATTTTCAATGAATTAATGGGCAGGTGAAAAGCATCAATCCACTTACATCACTCCACTTTCTTTCCAGCCATTAAAAAGTAACAGAACATGTGCTATACTCTTAGCCATACATGCGTGTCATATAGGCAGAATTAAATTAATTCTCATGGGCTTCAGAGGGTATCATGATAAGTGATTAGTGAAATCAAGTTTGTAATTATGATAACTTGACCAAAAGGTTGTTCAATGGTTATCATGTTCCGTAGTCCGTACTTGCACTTATGGATTTAATTAAAATTGTGTATTGACCAATGACCACTGATGAGGGATGACACGAAGAAAAAAATACACGAACCATATTAGCGGTACTAGTTAAAATTGTGTTAATGAACTCTTGTTAGTAGGACGTAAAGCCAATGGGAATCCCAAGTATGCGGAAGCTTAATATTATTTGTACCTCGGGTTTATTTTATTATTTTTAATAATTTGGACTTGAACCCATTTTGATAGTTTAAGGTTTCTAAGCCTATTTATATTCTCTTATAAAAAGAGTGTTTTGTAACGAGTTCGGTGAGAAAAATATAATGAAATATTACTAGATGTAGTTTACATTAGGTAAATCACAGTAAATCTATGTCTCCTTTCTTTCTTTGCTTCTTTCTTTTCTGTTTGGGATTGTATGTGTATGATTGGTCGGTAACAACAATATGTACGCTTAATAAATTTTGAGCTAATATATTCATTGTTATGGGTTAATGAGAAGCTCATATTTTAGAAGACTCAAAAAGGGACAACATAAAAGGAAAATTATGCTAATAAGGAAGAGAATTTGCTATTGATGATAATTTTATCCTCACAGCTATATAGTTGGACCTGAACTCCTAAATAAGGTCTAGAATTTCGTTACCCACAATAAACTCTATAAATAAGAGGTAAAGCCTACAGGTTTAATCTCTCTTATTGTTATATTGTCATTGTGCATACATACCACCACATTGTCAAACGTCGTTTTTACCCGTACATATCTGTCACCTCAAAGGATATCTCCTTCATAGATATCTTCAAGAGAGCACCAGAACCAAAATCAACTTACAATTTTTTTTTAAAAAAATATTTCAATCGGTTTATTTCTTCGCGACTAGTCCAATTCGGGACAGGCATGGACGGACCTACATTGGGGGCTAGGGGTGGCCCCCGCCCCCTAAAATCCGGGAAAAAATTGTATTAGTTGCGTAAATGTTTAATAACATCAACTTCACGGGATGTTTCTAATGAAAGTAAACAGAATAAACTGCTCTTAAGAAAGTAAACAAAGTTCTAATATAAAACAAATCATAATCATGTAGCTATGTAAATTTGACTACCTTACAAACGCGTTAATTAAAAACTTTATTAAATGCAATAAGAACTTTTACTAGACTAGTTTATGTATGAGAGCTAGTTTTATACATGGGTTTTGTTTTTGTCATGTTACATGACAAGAGACTATTTTCCTACACACTCATGATATATGTGGAGTCTATTAAATAGTGGAGTGAGAAAAAAAATTAAAAGTGGGGCCCAACTTGAATTGTGTGTGTATGAAAATTGGTTTCTTGTCATGTAACAAACCATTTCCCCTTTATACTATTAGAAAATTATTCTCTGAACTAGAATTTAGTGTTTATATACAATGTGCTCTTTGAATTTGTTGTCTACAAATTGCTAGTAGTGGGCTTCAAATTGTGGAGAGAACTTGGACGAAACAGTTATAGACTATATGGGCACTAACAAAGACAAAAGAAGACCATGAGCCAGCTTTGATTGTCGGAGTAATGCTATTAATTGAATTTATATCTTGTCCTCTATCGATACAGTACATAGAAGGAGTGGAGCCCTAATTAAATTTTGTACATCCTTATTTTGACATGAATAGTGAAAAAAAAAAAAAAAAAAACGTATTACTACAAAAAAAATAATAATAATAAAATAAACGTAAATACCCAAGGTGGCAAGTGTGAAACAATTAAGTTTACGTGTTGATGTTGTCAGGCAATATACCTTGCAACTAATTAGTAATATTACTGCAAACATGAATGTTCTGTGTCTAAATAAGAGAGGTGTCTAGTCAAAGACTTAAAGCCTTATTTATGTTTTGGCTTTAGCATTTGACCTGTTCTAGATCTAATTAAGTAACTGAAATTTAAACTACTTATGCTTATACTTGTTAATATTTTTTGTTCTAAACAAAATGTGATTGCCGACAAGGAATTAAAATGAGAATGATTCTGACTGAAAATTTCAAATTCAGAGTACAAAATTGATGTTATAGGATTTAAGATACACCACATCAAATGTTAATACCAAATCATACAAGGGAATTAAAATAAGAATGATCCTGACTAACATTATTGTAGTTAAGATACCCCACACCATTAATTTTTTGTTTTGTTATTAATTCTGTTCTGATGTTGAAGTCATGATTTTGACAGTCATATACATATATATATATCAACTATCAAACTATGTTATGTTGATCAGATATTGATTTCCCACAATGTGTCAAAGCTAGAGCTGACTCCTCAACTAGAATAACGACATGGGAGTTATCAGTCTTGGGACCCAGTTCAGCATATTCAGAGAGTGAAGATTCTGATGATGTTTTGGTGGTTTTATCTATATCTACAATATTAAAATTTGTGAGTGAGGCAAGATCATTCACAGAATCTACAATTTTCTCTGTGCAGTCAACAATATCAATTAGTAGTGAAGCCACTGTCACAGCTGGTATAAGTGATAGAAGTTCTGTTTCTTCCCATAAGCTTGATTGGAGCAGTGACTTAAGGCTCTTCATTGCAGCTTTTGAGTTTGCAACATGAGTATCTGCAGAAGATGGCCTTGTCATTGTTCTGATTAACCTTCCTAGTTCCTTCAACGCTTTACCAGATTCCAAACTCATTTCTGAGCACACCTCTTTGATCGTACAAAGAATTTCTTGTGATCCCTACAAAAGTTTTCATTAGATATAATAGTGTCAATATAGCACGTGGTAGCATTATCATGACCCATATATAATAAGGGGAGGGTTATATTTATAAACTTTTTGTTTACAAACTCTTACAAACTATACTATGTACTCCCGGGAGAACACTAGATTACACTATGTTCTCTCGAAAGTACATAGTGTAATTTGTATAAATTTATAAAAAAAATTTGTAAACGGATCATTCCCCGTATAATAAAGTTTATATTTCAATACATGCAAACTCATTATAGGAATAAAAATGTCAAATGAGTAGAAATTCTAACTATATTTGGACAAACAAAAAATATTTTTTTATTTCTATAGATGCCATTACTAGTTAAAGATATATACTTGGTTTTCAGAATTGAGGATTCCATTTAGAGCTTCCATTCTACATGCACATTGGCGAGAAAGGGCACCAATTTTGAGGTATTGATCCCACGGATGACGAAATTTGAACTTGCCATGACGTGGTTCCCATTTTGCAAAATTGGCCTGCAAGGTAAAGAAAATTGTACGAGACATGTACCATAGAATTTCATCTATAGGGAAAGAAATGAGGGAAAACAGCTTTTACCCACCAAAGACTCTTCAGAACTTTTAGAATTGAGGACGCTTTTATAACCTTCTAGACAAGACTTGTTATCTTTAGAATCTCCTTCCTTTGATGTTTCGAAGTACTCATATACAAATGCTGTGACATATAACAAGATTATAGCCTAAGAGAATAGTAATTTAAAGATTTTTTACTTTTTGGTAAACGCAATTTATATAACTTTATTCACGTGATTTTTCTTAAATCATCTAACCTTCTAAGAAGTCACCAAGTGTTTCCAACTTGTCAGCAATTAAATAGTGGAGCTCTTCACCGGCCCATACAGGACAAACAAAAATGGAAATCATCACACAAGCAGAACCACCTATGAAAATGGTTGATAACCTCTTGTGTGCCATTTCTAATACTTCATCGTCACGAAATCCAGATACAGATATCAAAGAGAATGTCAAGATAAATATAAGCATCCCGTAATCATATCTTGCCTTCACTTTTGGTAAAAACCTTATAAATGATGCTATAGCAGCTGCAAAAAATATAAAAGGATTAAATCAATGATGATTGATTGAAAAATAACAGTTTTTTACTTTGCATTTTTTATAAACTTTTGTTACTTTTTGTTTTACCTTGCAGGAAGACAAAGAAGCCAATCAATATGGGTTCTCCTGTCTCTCCAGATAAGCTAGCTAGGTAATGAGCCCCAACACCCAGAGCACCAGCAACCAGGGTTGCCATTGTCCTATTCAAACCTTTTCCTAGAGTGGCTCCTAAAAATGTGTCATATATAGTTGGTTCAACAAAGTAATAAATATGCAAAAAACAAAATATGGGTTACTATATGATAAATTAAAATATGCACAAACTTACCAACAGTGTACTCAAAAACTACCACTACAGTCATCACAGCCCACATTGCAGAGAGACCAAAATTCTCATATAGTGGCTGATAATAGTAGAATAGTGACACCAGTGAGATTGCAAGTCCCACTTTTAGTGAATGAATCACTCTTCTAGGGTCACCTTGGGCTATTTCTTTTGTCACCTTACAAATATCAAACACCTTCTCCCAAAGAACTTTTGGTAAGGCCTTTAGTGGTTCCCATACTCGACCAAGTACCCCTGTTTTTTCCTGATTTGTTGTAGAAGATGCCATCTCCTTGAATTGATATTCAATCCGCTGAAGGAAATGAGTAATGAGGAACAAAGATTGCTTGTGATACTTACTGTTACTTAGGTCTTGTTGTAGCCACCTTCAACGAGTATATATAGAGAGAGGGGGGGGGGGGGGGGGGGGGGGGCAAGAGAAAGAACCCGATTCAAGATTTCAAGGATAATATTTTAATGCTATAAACATGTGTTAGTGCTTAATTTGTACGGTGAGAGTACAAAGACATTTCTCCTTATAAATGCGTTTTGAACTCTGTAAGGAAGAAAAGCTAAGAATAATGACGTAGACCCTTAACAAGGATAATTAATAACTTGGTACTACGCGACAAAAAATGACAATAATAGTGCATTTTAGACGTGTGTGGATATAGTTACACATCGCAAGTAACCCACAAGTTTTGAAGTACAAAAATAAAAGGCTGAGGACACTTGGGGTATAACAAATCAGTAGGAAAATATAAAAGACTGCAGCCCCTAGAGTTTATTCAAGTGGTAAAAAACGAAAATGTTATTGGGGTACAGCTTTAGTGGTAACAAGACCCATAAAATTTAGATGTTAATTCTAGCTAGCTATAATCTTTTTATTATTAAAAAAATATAATAGAAACTAGCAAGAAAAGGGATGAGGTGGGACCTAAGGTTTTTTTTTTTATATATATATATATATATATATATATATATATATATATATATATATACTGATTCTAATTATCTTTTTGAGGTGTCATAAATTTCAATTTTTTGAGTCAGCTATACGAGTAATCCCGAGTCAGGATTTAGGATTTAGTTATAGTTAAAATTCATCGCCCCTCTCCAAATATGTATTTAGCAAGTATCGAACCCAAGTTCTTTCTTGACTCTACTCAACTTGGCAATTGAGTTTAACGTTATTGGGTAGAAGGGATCAAACTCAATTACACTTCATTGTGGTCAATCTTTTAGAGAAATTAAACCAGTCACATCAAAAGGTCAGGTTTACAGGGTTCCCAGGAGGTTCACATCTTGTAATAGAAGACTTGGCCAACCCTTCACTAAACTATCATTTTCAAGTATTCATTCAAAACTTCATCGTGTACAACATAATGGGACATGAAAAGGACAAATCAGAATTGATTCAATTGAATTTATGGCACAGGGATTTCCTGCTTATCTGTATCTTCTTATGACATTGTTCGGTGAAGCCGATTTGTAGGTCCCTATAGTTAAATGGCAATAGTTGGCAATTTGCAAACAACCATTCTCCATCAGGAGTTGTTAAAAGAAAGAAATAGTGTATGGAATATGGATGCTACCTATCATCACATCTTTCCTTTTTTTCACTCCCGTCTTAAACAGAGATTCCATTAACCCCAAAAATTAAGTCACCCCTCAATAATAGCTTATCAATTGGTTCAAAGAATGTGTCTTAAATAAACATAACCAATAAAAATGTCATCTCTTGACAATAGAGAGAGAGAAAGAGAGAGTTAAGAATTCAATGCATTAAGACCATGTATTATCAAGCAAAACAGCTCGATAGAAATCGAAGTTATATAATCTTTCAGTGGATAGCTTGCACGGATGATGTTGGAGAAATTGCAATTATACATTTCGGGTATTTGCTTATAATTGTGTATTCCTCTTAAAAAAAAGCAAAATCATTAGGATCGGTCTAGTGGTGAGGGATTTAGGTAAGATATATTAGGTTATGCACTTGTATAAAAAAGAGAGAGAGCATATTCTACCTTAATCTATTATTTCATGAATTTAATGTGCACCTAATTTTAGTGTAAAAAAGTTTGATATTGTGTTTTATTCAATTTAAGTTAACCACCAAAAAAATATAAAATTAAAGTCTAATGATTGTACATGATATTTCGAGTGAGTATTGTACCGAAATATGCTTGTTAGTCTTAATGAATGGATGCATTTTTCCTGTTAAAAATAATTGTAAGTTACAACAATCTTGTTGGAGTTTGTAAGCACGTCTATTCACTTGACTAGCATGTGCGTTTCCACATGAAGATAAAATGAACATCATGTGTACTGTAATTAGAGAGTGTTAATATTTGAACCAAAATGATTTAAAACTGAATTGATAATTAAATAAAATAATATAAAAATATTTCCATTTAATTAATTTGTATAAAAAATTGACCTTCAATTAACATAGAAAAACTGAAGATCCAATTCGGATAACTTTTTAAAACATAAATAGACAAAATCAAAAGTTCAAAACCATAAATACGTTTTATGCTATCATTAAATGTGAGCTTTCATAGTCAATAATACATCTGATGTAAAATTGTAATGATACTGATAGATAAGGATACAACGTGTATTTTTGATATATCAGCAAAAGTCAGAATCTACAATAAATTCCAAAGATCATGATGTCAAGGAGCAACACTAACAAGAAAAAAAAAAAATCCTACTCATAAGCCCAAAGTCAGGTGTTACAGTTAAGGTTAAACTAATAAATTCAATAGCATTTCCCTTTAGAAGAGTCACGTGAAATCACATGCAATTGCTCTCTTCGTAGACAATTTGAATGACAAGGGGATATTGTTAATATATAGACGATAGAATAGTCTGAAATAAGTGAGTTTGAGCTTTTAAAGGAAACACAAATTGGGTGCTAGATCAAGATAATTAAGTGTAAAACAATAAACTAACATGGTTAAGTCGATTTTGCTGTTTTATATCTTTGCTTGTCAATGCCTTAAATATTAGTCTATCTGCCACTTGAACCATAGCCTGACCACCCCAACTAACCCAAGAGTGAAGCATGAAATGAAACTATTTTTTTTTATATCCACGAGTTTATTGATTATCTGACTGATTCGATTATAATATTGTCGGACTTATTATAAGGATAACTTCTCAAAATTATTATTTTTTATTCTCAGGATTCGAACTCGAGACCACTAGTTAAAAAAAATCAAATTCCTTACTTGTATATATGTTGATTCATTACAATTAAACCTTCTCTTTTTTATAAATTTCCTAAGGGTACAAGTTAAAGAATAAAAAATGCTAATGTTCCTTGTGCTCATCTTACTTAATTAGGATATTCTATTATAAGTTTTCAATAGGGAGTTTAACATCTCGTGGACATATATACTTAATCAAGTATTATTTATCTGTTTTTATTAAATCAGAGAAAAAAATATTAAATATTTTTTGAAATTTTAAGATATTAAATGTCTTTTTTTATTTGGAAGTTCTATTTTTATTCTATTAATTTTTAACAAGTGATTTAAGGGCTCACCCTATCAAAATCATATTTATTTATCTTTATGAATGTTTAAAAAATTTTAATTTGATAAATATCATTTAACCTCTCATATTTTTATTTTCCATTTTTTATTTTCTTTTAATTCCTTTTTATCTTTTTCTGTCCGAAATCCCCGTAATGATAAACTTGAGCTTTTGAATAAAATTTTTAGCACCAGACAATTTTTTTATTTTTATTTTTTATTTTTATTTTAAGCTATGAGTTGTGAAAATGAATGCAGATAGCGAAAATAGCATGAAAGCGACGCTATTGAATTTTGTTCATCATATTCCCTAACTTTAATTTCCCCATCCTGATTGAAAATGAAATTTATCTTCCCTTATTTGATTCAATAAAATTGCACTTACTTATACCATACCACTCTTCCAAAATAATATATCTTAATCAGAATCAATCAGATAATCACTTCTTTGTCCTACTTCCGTTATAGGTAAGTAAAAATTTGAAAAGTACATGACATCAAAGTTATGATAATCGCCTCAAATCTCATTCCAATCTTTCGTATCCCCCCATTTTGTTAAAATCTCCACTTTGTTTGAGGCTCTTGTTTTTGTCCAACTTTTTTATGGAGGCTCTTGGCATGTCATCCAGCTAGTAATTCACTATCTACGGTAGGTAGTTCAGTCCACTTGCAAGGATTATTCCCATAGTATCTTAACTTGTGCCTCCACCTTTAAAGTCCTTAGGTTGATACCTAAAAGAATATCTTAAAGACAACTCATACCTAAGCTTCACTATATCATAATTTAGCTAATATCTCCATTGGATCAAATTCAAGTAAAAAAATCACCAAACACATTGATTAACTGATATGGAGTTGTTCTAATTTAACTAACTGTCTCAAGTTTAAGTCCTGAATATGCAACTATGTTAAAAATTTTGTAAGAAAAATTTTGTTGCCCTTGAAGTTTTACCCGACTCGAATCAAATTAGTCAATAAACTGATTGAAAAAAAAAATGCCAATGAAACAATCCCAACAATAGAACTGAGATAAGAAAGGCCAGAAAAACATGCTTTTTTAAGTGATGGTGTAAAGGTTCATTTTCAATATATTTTCTTCCATTTACTATACCCCTCATGGGATGCCTTTCAATAACTTGTTTTATTCTTTCCATCGTACGTCAAAACAAGCTTGCTGTTGAGACATGACGTTCTAAGTAAACACAGTTGGGAGCAAGAAAAAACGATGATTGAGGTAGCTTGAGTTATGAACACAACCACTAATAGAGTCTCAACATCTGGAATCTACATATATAGATGGATTGAATATATTCTTGTATGCGTAGCATTTTCTTTCTTTGAGTACCCTGAATAAAAATAATAATAAAAATGCAATCTAAAGCAGCACCTTATCCATCCCTTTCAATTAGTTCTTTACTGAAATCAAACTCTGGCCATTAATTAGATATAAGATTCGAGGACATTAGATTAGATACTTGTCCTCTATAAACTTAAAAATGTACAAACCAATATGCCTCGGGAAAATTCGATACTTGAGTGACATGATGAGCATATGTAGGGTGGTTATTAGAGGGTGAACATGTGAATTCAACAACTACCACCTGCTAGGAATTGCTTTGCCATTTTTATGTGAAACTTGTTTTTCCTGATTATTGTTCAGTAAGTCCTTTAGATATATATATATTGGGTGTCATACGTAACATGCATGTCCCATCAATTGAGCATTACATTCATATGGTTGCACAAAAAATAATGCACGCATGGAGAAGGTATTTAGTGGGCCTGGACTATGGTGGTCCTTTCTCAAAATAGAAAAAAAGGAGGGACGGAGGGGGAAAATATCAAAAAGAGAAGGGTAGAAATGGAAGAAAATTTTTCATTTATGAAAAAGGGACCACTGAATAAGTGGTGGGCCTGGAGCATATTAAATTTTTCCTGAAGTATGCTAGGGTTAATCTTTTCTCTTGTCACATGAGATAATTTTTTAAGTAACCACTGAATAAGTGGTGGGCCTGGAGCATATTGAAATTCTCACCCCCAATTATTTTTTAAACTTAATGGTTCCCATCATGTGATATTTGTGCAAGAGAAAAATCTTTTCACATAAAATGAGAAAAAATTAACCCTTATACACATCACCTGAATTACGTAAATGATTATGGGATTATTGTATCTCATATGAGTAATATTTTTAATGTTATATATAAGGTGATACACAATAAATGATTTCGAACAATAATTTTTTCTTGCTCCCAAAATACTTATAAATTTCTGGTTTTTAATTAAGGAGGATCAACTACCACATTTAAATCGAAGATGTTGCTGATTTTTCGGCAACTCTGGATTCAGAGTATAAACATCAACAGAACATTTCAGCATTATAATTTAAGCATAGATTTCTAGCTAGGTCCTGCTTGGCTATGATCTTCTTGTGCTCGATGCTCGCCCTCAATTGAAGAGGCTTTCAGCCTTGGTAGTAGGTTTAATTAGTGGCTTAGGCAATAGAGTCAGGGAACATCAATTTCTAAACAAATATAGTATATAGTCACGGCCCACGGCTTTGTGGTCTGAACTTGACAATGACATGCACTAACCTGAGAGTTCACACTTTTGCCTATAAACTAAAACTTCTTTACTTCAAGCTGAATATATTTATTTGACTAAGACATCCACTCACAGCTGCGCTTTGCTTTTTCTTTTTTCTTTTTTCTTTTTTCCTTCTAATTAGATACAGATGAACTTTATAGTTTAAGCCCCTGGAATTGACTTAGTGGTAAAGGACTTTTTGCACGGGAATGGTATATTCAAATCTTAGTACTATCATTGTATCAAATTAAAGAAAATGAACTAAATGCAAATAACAAACCTTTTGATGATACAGGTCTGTTTAAGTCAGACTTTAGAAGTGATCAAACTTGCGGAATACTCCATTGGCTTCTTGCAAAAAAGTCTTTTCAAGACAATGTTCATTATTTTACTTAGTGGAGTTTGAATGCTGGCGCTTGGATATTACATTCCAATAAATTAGAGGTAAGATTCAATCGAGTACACTATTAGACATACGCGTACGAATCACTACTTGCTTAACGGTATCTGGAGCTAAAATATTTGTATATTAGCAAGGAACCAATCATTATTTGTAGTATGAACCCCCAATATAGGCAACATATAAAATTAAATTGTCAAAATTTAACTCCTTGCCCCATCATTTGATATGTCCTTCATATTTATCTTATCAGTACTCGCATTTTCAAACAATGCTTGGCAGAAGTTGATCCCAAAATATTTACCAAGAATTTAAATTCTCTCATGCGTAAAAGTGGTTATGTTATATTATTACGTGATCACAATCACTCATTGATGATAACATAAGAAAGAGAAAAGTGTATGATTTTTAAATAAGTGGTTGTGATTAATTAACATGATCACATGACCACTTTTACACATGAGAGAATCCAAATCTATTTGTTAAAGGATGCATGTAGCAAATTAACAACAGACGGTAAATAACAAAAGAATGCTACTCTCATTTAGCATAGACTACAAATATACAAACCACACAAAGCTGATATTAATAACAAAGGTATTATAACACAGCCAAGATCACCACTCCAATAAAAACAAGGAGAGAAAGATTAAAAAAAAGGGAAGAATAAGTGTATAGACCCCCTTTCTTTCAAATCCTAGAATATCTATACATCTGAATCACAACACCAACTACCTGGCAACACACACACACACCCCAATGGAATTACTCAAACAGGAAAAAATGATGCAAGTTATCTAAGAGTTGCCTAAAGCATCTCTAGAGACTGCCAACACAGGAAAAGTTGTCTTGGCAGGCACAGCAGGAAACATTTCATAATATTAATCTTGACATGCTCTTCACTAACTAAACTCATCACCCTCCAAACTGGGGTCATATATGAGAGGTGAAACAGCAGTTAGACCAAGTTAACATCACCTGAAGTCTTTAAGACTGGATTTGATGTCAGTCATGGCAAGCATGTGCCAGACTTGCTCTCAACAACATCCAGATTCCAGACCAAGAAACTATATATAGCAGGTGGTTCATTGCAAACTACTAGGCCTACCAGTTGCTGGTATCTGGGTAGCTTGTGGGAAAGAATGATAAATCATCATGTTGCTATCAACAGCATTGGATGAAGATGCACCACCCTTTACAGTTTGCTCCAAAAGACGAACCAGGGACATAAATATTTCCATCCTCGTTACATCCCTGTTTGCCTGCAATACTTGGAAGTTAAGTTTCTAGCACAATCTATAAACTAAAAAAAATTAAATGGTTGTCTCATCATGAACTTTCTTTTAGATGTACAGTTAACATCAAAATCAATATGCAGAAGAAAAAAAAAAAGGACACAGATAGGACAAATATAATGCACAATCGACTTCTAAATTTAAAATCGTGTGACAGGACGAAGATGAAGCACAATGATTATTATAATTAACATTCTCTGCCAGTATTGACATGACCTTTTTACATTGGCAAACAGATTAAATCTTAGCCAATATTACTTTTGACAAACTTAAATTATCAAGTAAAATCTTAAAACGCTTGTGCAAATTCTCTATAAATGCTATGCATAAAAAGTTAGCATGAAGTTCAATATAGTTCAGTCACAGCTAAAAATGCTCAAGTATTAAAGGTCACTCACTATAAATACTCTTATGGCAGTTCATTATGCTTATGAGTTGTGATCAGTTATTTCACTTTCCAGTGTATTACCTCAACAGCAAAGCGTGCCCAGATCTTGTCATTGCGAGCTTCCATAACCCCCTTCAAGATGGTTAAACCTAACCCTCTGATTAAGTCAGCGATTTCCAGAAAGAAACCCCGTTCCTCACAAAGCATCTGTAAAGAATAACCAAGCAAACAGATTAAAAAGGTAATAAGGAAATGTATAAGGGACAATAGAATTTAATAAATTTATAAACTATCAGTCATTACCTCCACTAGCATCTGACGAGGAGGATTGAGATCTTCAACTATGATAGGGCAAACCATTGATTGTGAGCCAACCTCATATGCCCATGTAGCTCCTCCTTCAAAGTTATCTTTTAATAGCAATCCACCTTCTTTACTAACAATCTGCAAATTTAGGAAAGAAAAAGCTATTATTGTTTTTCCCTTATTAATATTTCCTCAATGAAAAACATTATCATCAGCAATTCATTCTTCTTTATAATTCCTGCTGTTCATAAAAGATGCACGTCAATTTTTTTATGCATAAAGGGTTTTGGTTGATATGTACGAGACAATATATATATATATATATATATATATATATATATATATATATATGTAGATGGGTACTTCTCATAATACTATCAAATACATTTTCTTATTTTGTTTATCATTCAACATATTAATAAAATGCCAATGTAAATGAAAGCATTTCACGTATCATAACTAGTTCGGTTGTTTGAGATACAAGGTAAAAGCAGTGCTATACCTTAGATTCCCCTGTCTGTTTCAGCTTGTCAGCATGCTTTGTTACACTTTGCAAGAAAAGCATATGCTTGATGGTTCGTTCTAGAAGTGCATCTATGCTACACTGTTGAATGACAATAAGACATTAAAGAAAACAAAGTCAGCATCCAAATACAATATTTAAATAAGAAATTCACGACTGATATATAAGAGAGCACAAGAAAGGCTATATACTTTGGATCCATTTGGCACAATTTCCCGTAACTCTTTCACACGATCTTGAATCATTTGGCGATCTTTAGGGCGAGGCCTGGGGTTCTCTCCAGGTTTAAGCCTTTTACGATTCGATTTGCAAACTTCATCTGGCCGCTTAGAGTATCCAGTCGAAACGCTATTTTCACGCTTCACATTGCTGCCATTCTCAACCCATGAACTAAGTTGAGACCCATATATGGAAGTAGTTTGAGAACAGTTTCCAGTATCATCCTTGCTACACCTAAGAGAACTAGTTTCCACAGCACCAGTTTTAACCCCCGTCTTAGGAAAATCAAACAATCCACCCTGGACACCATGATCAGACATAACCTGCTTGCAGGCAGGAGAGGGGACACAGGTGGGATTAATCCTTGTCACTGTTGTCCGACAAGACATTTCATCAGAATTCAGTTTTGCAGCAGATTGAGCCCTTGACACCACAGCATCTAAGAGGTGGTCAGTGCCCATCCCAGAGAAGATGCTACTGTCTGATATCGCTTCATTAGCTGAAAAACTATTCTCATGACCTATTATACCCTGCAAATTCATACATGTTGCCTTTTTATCCAGAATTTCTGTATTGGCATCTGATTCATCCGCGAATAGCTTATTCCAGTTTCCATTCAGTAGTTTCCTTTTGAAATCCACACCTAGAACATCAAAGAGGTCATCTCCTGATGGAAGTTGAATACAAGTTTCTTCTTGTTTAGCATTCACTTTCATCATATGTTGACTAGAACCATCTTTATTGAAGCAATCTTGAACAAAGCCGGGGATGCGATCACTCATAGGCACATGCTCCTCAAGATGGAGAGATGGGATCTTAAGGGCCTGAAGCAAATCATCATCTATATTTTGATCTGTTGAAGCCAAAGCATTGAAACCATGTTTTAAATCTATAGGAAGATTCTTCTGATCAAGGCCTTCTAGATGCATGTGACTGGAAAATGATTGACTAGTCAAATTAGGCAGAGAATAAGTCCCAGCTTCAGTTGAATTATCATTTTGAAGTCCAAACCCAACTTTTTGCGTTCCAGAAAAATCAGCATTGGATACTTTGGGAAGGTTTGAAACCGAGCAGTTAATCATATTTGTCCTCAGAAGATTACCCATCCTGCTATGTATTGGGATTCCTCCAATTAGGGAAGTGCTAACAGAACTCTGGCTCTGTTCAAAAATTTGGCCTCCATCTGTTTTCAGTTGAGACATATTTACGGTACTTGATGGATTCATAGTAGGATTAACATGACTCCGCCTCCCAACACCTGATAAGATTTGTTGTTCCATATATTTAACGCTGCAGTCACTCAGACTTGATTGACCGAAACCAGCTAATTGATTGAACGCAGGCCTTGCATTATATGAAACAGAACGCTGTGACATAGAGGAATCGAGATTTGCAGGTATTACTCCAGGTTCAGTCTCCACAACTGTATTCTCTCGTTGACCAGTGACACTTGTTTTAATCATTGAATGAGCCTTTGGTTGGCAAAGGTTATCAAATATCTGATTTAGGTTATGGGTTTGAGGTGTCAATACAGAACCCTGGTAATTATTTATTTCTCCCCTTAAAGGATGAGGTGGTTGAGCAATAGACCTTGAAGCATGATATGAATTACTTGGTTGGTTAGAACCATTAGCTACTGAGTGAGTGCAGTTTGACGTAATGACTGGTGGATCAACAGACACAGGCACACCAACAGTCACAGGTCCCGCAAGTCTTTCAGTATAATTTTTTGCTGAATAGTCTTCAGATAGAAGGGCACCAGGAACACATCCCAATTGCAAGATCAAGCTCTTCACATCACTCACGAATGCCATATTTTCCATTATCTGCAGTGATAAGTGTGGCCGCATTAGTTAATGAACAATGGGGCACAGACATAAACCAACTTATTTGACTGCACTTATGTGAAGCAGTCACTAGATCGCTCAAAAGTAGAGAATAGCTAACACTCCATAGGATACCAGATAATCTAGAGATGTATGCAACTCAATGACAAAAAACAGATAGCAAACCTAGAGTAGGATTCAAACAGCTTATTACATTTTAAGCTATTCACTGACCAACAAATCACATTGTGTTCAGGTCTAGAGAGAGTGAATTATATGAGAACAGTGGTCTATGTGAATGAAAGAGCTCATATACCATTATTTCAATTTTCACTGATGGATATCTTAGATCTATGCAAGGGATCATGTTATATGACATTCAAGTTAACCTGGAGCATACATTCTTGATCCAAAGTTAATAAGGAAAAATTCTGTGACTTCTCATCACAATCAATTGAAAAAGACTTACAGGCAAGAAAGAACCAAGTTGAACAACCCCGTGGGGAAGGACAGGAATAACCGCTATTGTCTGCAAACAAAGATACAATATGGGATCAATATAAAGTAAAAAAAAATTTATAGCAAAATGTGAAGCATAATGAAAATCACAAACCTGCATTCCAGCTGAAAATTGGTCATGCACCTCGGTTAATACCTAAAAAGAACACACCAAGGAAGAAAAATGAAAATGAAGTTCATTAGTTCATCTATTCCAAGCCTTTAAACATTCCAATATATAAACACACTTTCACATAAAAGATGCTTATGTCATTTAATTATTATACTTCATTAATATACACTCATTTTGATCAACAGTCAGAACATTAAAAAAGTTATTAATAAAAAAAAGGAACATAAACAAAGGCCAGATTTTACAAGATTTTATTTGCCTCTTCACCAAACTTCAAAAAGAAAACAATCAAAAACTTTTCATGCATTCTTCACAGGAATAGAACTCTTTCACAACACCTGAAGCAGATCATCAACTCCTCACCTCTGGTGGATATGCATCTCTAGTAAAATTGTTCAAAAGAATCCACTGATGGTTTCCTGTAAATACTGCCCGTCCAATTATCCTGGGTAACAGCAAAAAGAAGCACTTAAGTAAACATGGGAATGACAAGAGAAGCACTTAAAATTAGGATCCTGATAAACTAGGAAAAGGCAAAAAGAGAAAGCACTAACCCTTCACCAGAGATATTGACTGAATTATTCACCATCATTTTGTTAATCAATGAACAGACTCTGTCCTCCTCCTGAATCCGTAGCTGAGACTCGGAAGAAAACCAGCATCCTTCCCCATCTCGGTAGGGCAAATTAGACGTCCCAACAATGCGTGAAGGGAAAGAAGATGGCAATGGTTCATAGTAGCAATCTTCCCAGATTAACAGCCTGCCAAGTCATACCATACTCAATTAACTCAAACACAAATATTCTATAGACAGCAATCAGAGAATAAGGTCAAAGGTATAATATTTTAACTGTCATTTTGGCGGCTTAGAGTGCATAGTGTGAAAACAAATATAAGACTTAGAAGATAAGCAACAATAGATTCATACATTTAAGTCAATAAAATAAAAGGTATACAGGAGTTTAGGAAAAAAAAAAAAAAAAAACTGATTTTTTAATTGTTCTTATTGTTCACTTTATGGCTGTGAAACAAAAAAAATAGAATGAAGCTCAAAACTCTTATTTCATTTCATGTTACACAAACCCTTGTTTCCTTCTCCCGATTACTGGAGAGTTAACTAATTACATATAGGGAACTTATTAACATGCTAATTACAACTAAGGGTATAGTTTAATTCAGTTAAAAAATTGAGCTTATCTTTGAACCGAATAATTAGTGCATCATGAGTGATTAGTATGACATAGATAGATCAGCAGATAAATCTACCATTAGCTGAAAAAGAAGGGGTCAGCTTTTATCTAAATGGAACAAGAAGATGAGAATAAACAGAATCAAACAAGGAAAACAAGTACTTAATCCATAGATTCGTACACGAACAATCAACCAAATAGATAGTGCGCCCTGCAAATTAATGCAAATGAACTTCTACTTTTTTATTAAAAAAATAAAATAAGATTCTTAAAAACAAAACAGAAGAAACAAAGGCACACATAAAGTTCCACAACAGGAACTAACAGGTGGACTTTATCATGAAAACGAACCAACCCCAGAAATAGAATCTAAATACGAATTTCGCATGAGATCCCCGTTTGGTTCCCGAGAAAGTACAAGAATCAAAATCATATCGAACAGATAAATCTTTAACCAAAGCTGATTTTTCACTGAATTTCTCAGAAAGCAAACATATAGCACAAAGCAAAAGCATCTTCCTCATGGAAACTTACTTGGAATTGTTGCAGCCGATCTTCCAGAACACGGCATAAGACCACTGATTCCGAGCGCACAGAGTCTTCAAAGCTTCTTTCAACAAAAACCCCATCTTTCTTTCAACAAGGGGTTTTTCAAAACCGCGAGAAAGTTTTCGTTTTTCCGAAGCAATGAAGTCACACTAGCATTCACGAAGAGAGAAAGAATAAAGGGTAATGGTCAAAAACTCAAAACCGGTGAAGACACATTTTTTTCCGGCGAGTTTGTCTCCTGAAAACTAACTTCCACGGCACGATCCTCTTCCTGCCTGTTTTGTCCTCAAACCCCCACTTCGCTTTCTGACTGGATCCAAGTTCACTACGGTCAGTTTCCGGCACCGGCAGGCCATCCTCCGGTAGAGGAAGCTGAAGAGAGAGAGAGAGAGCGAGAGAGAGAGAGAGAGAGAGCGAGAGAGAGCAAAAGAGTAACAAAGTTGAGAACTTTTTAAGGGACTACACTATCCCAATAGATTCAAGCTTGTAAAGAGCTATGATCTTCTCCATTTGAACTGAAGAAAATGGTGATAGAGGAAGAGGGTATAGCAGAAGAGAGGTTACAGGGAAAAAGGGTATACTTTATTATGTTTCAGGTGAGATGGTCTCTGAGGCTCTGTGGAACTGTGTTTCTTTCTTTCTTTCTCTTTTTTTCTCCTCACCCTCTATGAGAAAATAAATGGAAGAGCTTGGAGAGAGAGAAAAAAAATGAGGGTTAAGAAAAAGGAAGGGTTTGGGGGGAATATTACAGGGTTTGCCACTGAGGAAGATTGGCCTTGGGAGAAGAGAATAGGTTTCTGTCGTGTTGTGGAACAGAGAAGGGTCTGGTCTGAATAAGAGTGCAGTGGTGGTGGCCATGAACCAAAGTGCGGGTTGCTATCTATGTGACGTCACATAATCATTGCCCCCTTCTATTCTGTGGAATTACCAGAATGGCACACTAGCAACTTTTTTCGTTGTGTTTATTTCATGGTCCATGGTGTTTGGTAAGAACAACTGAAGATGTTTAGTGATGTTTAAATTGAGATGAATTTCAGTTTGAGGTTGAATGGTGTCATGAATCATGATCATGAAACATCATGGGTGACTGAGGTGGGAAAATGATGGGGAACACTGCCTGGTTGGGATGCAGGATGATGATGGAGAATGGTCTGTTGTTAAAAAAGACTTTAAACTCGGAATTATTATGCATGTTTGCAGAATTTTGGACATGTTCAATTTGTTGTTAAGTAGTAATTCGATCGTGACTATGATGATGGTTGGCTCCTTGTTTTATATTAATGATTGTAATGTAATTACAAGGATTGTGCAGTGCAAATGTAGATTAATATATGCATCGGATTATTGTGATTAGATTTGAATTAGCTATGGATAAACACATTCAGTTTTGGAAATTGAAAAGTGAAAACCATTTAAATCCTCTCTGCTAACCTAAGTTTTGTTTTGTCACCAAGCCTTAGAAGTTAGATCGATTCAGTGACAAAAAAAAAATGTCATAATCATTGAAAACAATATATTTTTAGGAGCTTAAAAATTATTAAATGATTTCATTTTGCAAAATTTAATAATTGCCAACAATAATTTACTTCATTTTTCATAATATAAACCATGCATGTATGGCGCCAATAACTTGTTTAATGATCTTATAACGTTAAGCGGAGACTCACTTAAAACTTTGTCTATGTTAACTTTTTTTCCGTAATAGCAGAATATTCAACTAGTTTCTTTGACCATCTCTAATTATTTAGTTTAAATATGTTTTTGGTCTATGTAAATAAAGTAATTTTTATCTATATATATAGTAATTTTTAGTTTTGATTCCTCGTTATTTAGTTTTAAAATGTCACGTCGCAGTTTCGCTCATGAACATGTGGTTCTTGAAGAGCTTTGATAATTGGATGGAGGGTGCGATGAACCACATTGTAGAGCTTCATCTATCGCAGTCGTGGACAGGGACAATGTGATTTTGTAAAATAAATAAATATGGGTGATAATTGTTTTTGGTAAGTTGGGTGATAATTTAATTGGTACCTCAGCTTCTAATTCATAACTAAAAAAAATATTTTTACATAAAAAATATTTTACATAAAAAATATTTAACTTTGGGTATTGGGCCAAGTGGCATTGATTACATGGTATTCATCACTTAATAAAAGTAAAACACTTCTAAAAAATGAGGGATTACAACCAAAACGCAAATTGACATTTTCTAAATATTAACGAAAATTGACATTTTCTATATCAAATCCTCCTTTAAGTATTAATTGCTATATTCTATTGCCTTGTCATTGATTGTTAAGATTCTCACAGGATCCCTTTCATACTTGGTCACGTTATAACAAACAAAGATATATATGTTTGTACCAATAAAAAAAAGAAGATATATATGTCAATATATGAAGATTTTACTAAACGTAGTAATTATAAAGGTTTATATTATTATGCTTTTGCAATCAAAAACATCATTTGGAAAAGCATCATCTTGAGTATCCAATGGGTATTGGTTACTGTGATTAAAAATAATTATTTAAATTTCAAAGTTACAAGTTTATGTGTTCGACCTCTCTAATATTATTTTTGAAAGATGTTTAAAATATTAATTTCAAGATTCACATCAAATTAAATTAGTCATTAAACGATAAATTGATTGAAATATCTGAAGAAAAAAATGTTAAAAATTTAATCCTTAAAGAAATATATATGGAGAGACTTTTAACATTCAACACACTAAATCGAATTGCGCATATGTTTGAAATTTTCCCCACTTTTCATTTCTTTTTATTGAAGTTACATTTGGCATGTGTTAAATATATGAACATTGAAGGGTACTTATGGGTTAATTTTCATGTTAACGAATTCTAAATGTCTCCCAGAAGAATATTATGGTCGCTTTCGCTTTGTTAGGTTTATGAATCAACATACAGAAAAAGAACTTTATGATAAAATCTTACCATAAAAGTAAAAGATAAGGGGAAAATAATGCAAACTTGGCCAGCTTGACGCTAATGTCGTTTCAATCAATAACAACTTAGTCCACACCCTTTGGATGCTGTACACAGTTTAACATGAAATGAACTCATCTAATTAGAAATTATTCCTTGGTCAACTTGAAGTTATCAGTTGAGCTGTGTTTGTATAGATCAAGAAGGGTCAACCATCATCATCTTAAAGACTAACAATCAAAAATTCAAGGACCACTCTAGAAGCAGAAAACTAGAAGAAAAAAAAATTAATATATATATATATATATATATATATATATATATATATGGTTTACATTTCTGTTGCTGTACGTACACCAATCAAATATTTGTTATATATATACATGAAAACATTAAATGCGGGGAATCATAACCATACAAAAGATGAAAGCATTAAATGTGGAGAATCATAACCATACACTTGTCGTTACTGTACGTAAAGCGGCTGCAGAAATAATTTTACCATATATATATTGGGTTTATATTTCTGCAGCTGTTGTACGTGCAGCAGTCAAATACTTGCCATATATATACATGAAAACATTAAATGCGGGGAATCATAACCATACAAAAGATGAAAGCATTAAATGTGGGGAATCATAATCATACACCTATCGTTGTTGTACGTAAAGCGGTTACAGAAATGATTTTACCATATATATATTGGGTTTATATTTCTGCAATTGTTGTACGTGCATCAATCAAATACTTGTCATATATATACATGAAAACATTAAATATTTCTACAGTCACTTTAGATAACATTATTTATAGTTACCTTTTTAACTAAGTCTCACTAGTAAGACATAGTTATAACATTCAAGTTGTTATTTTTTTTTCTCTTTCGTCAGATATTGTCGGCTGACGTGACGGAGAGAGAAAATACAATTTTTATGTCTTACTAGTCATACTTAATTAAAAAAGAATAACTTTAGACAATGTTATCTAAAATGACTGTAGAAATATTTATTTATATATATATATATATATATATGAGTAAAGGATTTCTCCAGTCAATGAAGATAAATTATCTCCGGTAAGCCCAAAATGACGTCGTTTTGAGGCGAAAATTAATGTATTTTTGTAATTATAATATATTGTAGGGTTATATTAGTCTTTATCATTATAATTTTTTTAATTGTATAACCCAAAACAACGTCGTTTTGAGCTCACCTGAAATAACTTTATCTTCGGTGACTGCAGAAATACTTTTCCCTATATATAGGGATATGGTCCTTTGACACTGGTGTCAAATTTCAAAATTTGATACTAAATCCTAACATTTGATTTCCATCATTCAACGGTTATCATTTATTGGAAATCAAACTTATTAATTAATTATAATTAATTATTATTCCCAATAAATAATAAACGTTGATTAATGAAAATCAACGATTAGGATTTGGTGTCAAATTTTTCAAAATTTAACACGGGTATCATATATATATATATATATATGGGCTTATCGTTTCTCAAGCTGCTTGAGATAATCTTATCTCCGGCTACTAAATCATAACCTTACAAAGATGAATCAATGGTGATAAAGAAAGAGAGAGAAAAAGAGAATCATAACTATTCAAAGGTAAATCAATTGATATAAATAAATAAAACGACGTAGTTTTGGGTAGCCGGAGATAAACTTATCTCAAGCTGCTTGAGAAATGTTTTTCTTTATATATATATATATATATATGAGAAATATTTTTCTCATGTTGTAGGAAAAAAAGTTACCTCATGTTGTAGAAATAAAATTATAAGTGGGATCCACAGGTAAGAGGAGAGAAAAAAAAATATGGTAGGACCCAATACCTTTTTAAGTATGTAGGAAAGTTATTTATCTCATGTAAAATGAGATAATCATAACCCTATATATATATATATATATATATATATATATATATATATATATATAGAGGCAGGATCATCTTACACTGGTGTAAGAATAAGAAGTCTTACACCAAATCTTAACCATTGATTTTCTTCATCTAACGGTTAATATTTATTAGGTCTCACTCATTAATTAATTAATTCCCAATAAATCTCAACCGTTAGATGCACGGAAATCAACAGTTAAGCTTTAGTGTAAGATTTATTATTTTTACACTATATATATATATATATATATATATATATATATATATATATATATATATATATATATATATATATATATATAATTCTTGAACAATCTCGTTGAGGAATCATACATTGGACACTAGAATCTTGAAAATGTCCTAAGCCCACAAGATGCCTGCATTTTCCCCCATGTAAAAACATGTTGCCTGCTATTAAAAATCAAATGGAAGACACCTTACATATTCACAATAGATTGTATTTTACAATCATTTACATCCCAACCCCCCCTCCCTCCTCCTCCTCTTCTCTTCTCTTCTTTACTTTTAGTTTTATCTTTTCTTGTTTTTTAATTTAAAAAATGTTTCAGGACGAAATGAAAGCAACAAAAAAATAGAATAAACTTAACATAATCTTTTGTGTTGTCGTAGACAGGGTAAGGTGGTTTTGGGGGGAGGTTCAGTTCTCAGCTTTTTTAGAGTATTTTATAATGATAAGTTGGAAAAAAAGTATTTAATATTACTTTATATAATTTTGTCTAATGTTCATTGAAACGACATTATTTTGGAGTTGAAAAATAAAAAAATTAGAATGATAAAGATTATTATAATCCTGAAATAAATTAAAATTACAAAAAATACCATGAT